TATTTTTAAATTGTAAATTAAAATTACATAAAAATGTACTAAGGAACTATTGTTAGAAAAGTAAAAATTCTCACGTCATGGGCTTATCGTGACGACTTTGAAAATATATATGGCCCTTGTTTAGTAACAGAATAGTAATTAAAAATAAAATAAAAACCTATAAACCTTCTAAATAACGTCCTTCATTATCTTTTTCTTTCGGAGATTCAGATAAAAAATTCATACTTTTAAAAAGTATTATAGGGTGTAGACTACTCCAGATCTCTTTAAAAGACTATTAATGAATTTTAAAGGCATTTCATTATCTTTTAAAATTTTGGTGATTATTAGAATTTCTTCTTTTTGTCTTTCTCTTTCAGTGTAAACATTTTTAATTCTGCTAATTTGGTTAATAATATTATTTACAATAACGTTTTTAGATATGTCGGAGTTCCAATTTATAAGTTTATTAGTAGAAAAATTAAAATCTTTTCTGTTATAAAAAAAGTTTAATTTCTGTTAGATTATGGATGTTGTTGTTTTCGATGAGATTAAAATTGTTGAAAGTAATAATGTCATCAATATGTATATAAGTGTGTTCAAATTTACTGAAATCGTTAGCATAAAGGCTCTTTAGGAATTTGTATTCTTTAGAAAATAGAAATAAGTTACAAATATGAGTGGAATATGAACTTCCCATTGGAATTCATTGCTTTTGCAGGTAAAGAATGTTTTAATGTTTAATATAGTTACTGCATAACGAAAAATGTAGAAATTTTTTCCATTTTTGTAAATCCAGAATATTAAGTATTTCAGGAAAAAATTCTATCATTTCTAAAAGACTTTCGTAAATTTCATTGAGTAGCAGAGACGTTCAAAGAGAGAGAGGGAGAGAGGGTTGAAAGAGAGAGAGGGTTCAAAGTCAGAAAACCCTCTCTCTCCTTGAACAGAGAGATTTTAAAGTCATTAACAGTTTATATTGTAAATTTTAAGACTCCTAACTTCTTCAATGATTTTTCAAGCTGTCGTTAATAATCCAGCAGAAACTTTTGTCTTCTTTAACTTGTTCAAAAACTACATTACAAATAGTTCAGTAGACTGGTAAAAATATTATCAAAATTCTTCTTGAAGTTTCTGGCACTATTGGCTATAAATCTTAATTTTACAGGATTTTCATGAAGTTTTGGTAAGGCATAAAAGATTGGCAAATCTGTTATTTGTAGTGAAGTGAGAAATTCTCCATTTATTGTGAAAAATAGAAATTTTGTTAATAACAGTTCTTTCTTTATTTTTGCAGATATAGGTAGACGAATTTTTCAGCTCATTTTCAATTACATCATTGTAGAATTTGTTTCATAAAATACTGAAATTATTGCTTGCTTTAACAATTTTGGTTATGGTAAATTGCTTTTTCAATTGTGAAAATTCAGAAGTAAATTTTTCCAGTTTTTAAGTCCTTTAAATCCTCGTATTTTCTCAATTTTCCTTTTGCTTTGAGTAACTATTTCATTCTTCCATTCTTAAAATAAATGTGAAAGTAAACAAAGTTAAGAACTAATTTTCAAGATGAAATTATCAATATCTGAAGAAATACTTTCTATGCAATGTAATTTACTAATTAGTTTAATAGCTATAAACTTCGTTCCTTTTTTCATAAGTAATCTAATCTCTTGATCTTGAATAGTGTCCAGATTTCCTGTTATAATATGCTTGTGCTCTTCCTCAATTAAATGACAGAAATTTTTCTTCATTACAAAATCATGATGCTGCAAAATCTTCTTCATTATGTTTTTTCTTTAAATTTCATTAAAAAATTTTTGTATTGGGGTATTGATTGTTTAAAAGTTTTGTTTTTACATTTATTAAATTCTTTGTTGTATTTATAGGTTTATTTGAAATTTATTAATTATGAATTTCAAAATTTTTGGTTTGAAATGTTCTACTTTTGATTAGATGTGGCGTTCCGACAGATACTTCAACTTCTATTCATGAGATGGCGCCACGTGTAAAATCCAGTTCTTAATCGGAGCAGCAAAGCGACATCTTTACTGACTCAGACTTCTCGTCGGACAAGTGTACCGCGACGCTAGCACGAATTGTGTTTCGAGCTCTGTGTTGATCTCTGCAATATTGCAGATTGCAATATATAGTATATATATATATAGTATAAAAATCGAAAAGTACATGTCGGGACGGATTCAATAAAATTTTGTTCTTTCTATATGAAGGTCTAACCTTTCTTTTCCGGGTAAAAAAATTACCAAATTGATTAAACGTAAACTAATGAAACTTTCAAAAACATAATCTTTAACTGAAAATTAAAATGAAAAGAGAAACTTTTTAAAAATTACAGAACATTATGCATAACAAAACAAAATAACTTTTTTTATTAATCTCCACTGTTTAACTCTTCAAACAGAACTTGTCAAGGGAAAAGCATTTTGAAGCTTTAAACCAAGTTAATTAATGAATTCCGAATACATTTTTCGTTCCTCTGAATCATTTGAAACTCAAAAGCCCCTTTTCAACTTCATAACAACTTTCTACTAGTTCTCAAATGTTCAGATCTTTTCCCTACATGCATTCATACTCAAATAAGACCAAAAATTGGTAGGGTACGAACTGCGCGAAATTTGATCGAAGATTCTCTCCCCTCTCTTATTTAATTCACGAACTGCGCGACGTTTCCTGCCTTCTCTTTCTTTACCAAGAAGATTGGGTGCTACAAAAAGTCATTTATCGCCATTAATGGGACATTTTATTGAGACTGCAAGCCTCTATTTTCGTTTATCAATATTATAAAAATTGGGCATACAAAACAAATATTAAAATATTAATTTAAAGTCTGGCGTGTGCTAAAGTAAAAATGAACTTCTTTTACACTCATTTTAAAGTTTTATGATGCTTAAAATGATGAGCCAGATCTTTTTATTCTCTGTAAGAATTAAAAACTTTCCAAGTTGTAGATTTTAGTCTCTGATATATATATCAGTTTTGAATAATAAAATTGATAGATTAATGACATACACAAAACTGATACATAATCAACCTATCAAATATCGGATTTGTAGCGCACCTTAAATAAGTTTCTTGTCTAAATAAATATTAACAAATCATCTTAGATAGCAGAATGGTTTTAATTATCAAATTTACCATTTTAGGTAAATAGTTCTAATTTAATTTAAACAATTCTCTTTATTAAATCTAAAAATTGGATTTCTTAAGTGGTTCTAAATTCACACTAATATTATTGCAATATATTGCCGTATTAAGCTTTCCATTTTTAGTCATTGAAGTTATTTAACTATTTATGATTTATTATTTATGGTTATTTTAAGTTTATTTAACTTTCTTACAAATTCCATATTTTAATACTAGAAACGTTTAAATATTTATTCTGTTTTCCAGTTACTCTACCTGATGTACTTTGGCATACATTTAATTTCTAATGCACATTTAATTAATAAATTGATAATTATGAGCGTCTGCAGAATTTTCAGAATTAACAACAACAACGACAACAACACAACAACAACAACAAAAAAAAAAAAAAAAAAAAACACGAACTCTCTTATATTGATATTTTGGGATTTTCAGTTCCCTTTAAATCCATTCCTTTTTCACATATTGTTGCACTGTATTCAAGTTTCATATGTATGTTATCATAATAATTAAAATTTATTTACAATTTATACGTCGGAGTTCCAAACGCATACTAATGTTGTTATAATAGATTTCATGCTAAGCTTTTTTTTTAAAATTTAACTATTAATTTCTGCAAACATTTACACGATTACTTTAATTAACAAAAAATATTTCTAGCACACTTTGATATGGAATAATCTTTTGCACGCCAGTGAGCTATACTAAATTTTCCAGTCTAGTTCAGACATCATGACTATTATTGATGTTATTTATAAAAAATACAATTGGTATGCTTTATAATTATTTAATTTATGATATTATTATAATATTCCTTGCTGTAATATTGTGATTAATGAAAGATGTTTGTAATGCTAATATGTATGTTTACTAATACCTTTTATTTTCTTTGTTAATTCTCGCATTTATTACTGTTATTCAAATAATTAGCCTGCTTGTTAAATATTCTATACCTGTGCTTGTGATTGTGATATGTAATTCTATTTCTTTATTTTTATATTCCTCTTGGCTACAATCGGCTTCGAAAAGTAAAACTGTAATCATGTAGGCAACGGGGGAAGAAATTTTGATTCGCGCACTTGGAGTACACCCCAAAAATTATATACAAAAGATAAATAATAGTCAAAAATTGTAAAAAAAAAAAAAAAAAAAAAAAAAAACCTGTAAAAGGCCTAAAAAAAACCCTAAAAAGGGCAAAAGAAACTAATTACATAAACTAAAATAATTCAAGATGAAAAATTCTACATCAAGAATTAATGAATCAGTTTTGTTTCTTCAAAATAAATTGTTCAGTCGAATTATATAAAGCCTAAAACCAAAACGGCTCAATTACTCGAAAATTAGCTTTTTGTGAATTTTAAATTTGTGCCAAAATATACTCATAAAAATAAGCTAATGGAGCGAGCTGAGTTAAATTGAAAATAAAATTTATTAAAAATGAAAACAAGGAAATTAAGAAAACAGAAGACAAACATACCTTTCATATTCTATTCTTCCATATCAGCAGAATGTTTCAAAAGCCAAAAGAATGGATGCTGATAGGGTTGGTAGAATTAAGACGAACCCTGCTTAGGGGTTTACCATATATATATATATAGGTGTTCGAATAATACTCGACTTTTTCTATTCTTTTGCAATCACTATATCGACATTCCGGCGAAATTAAAAGTTTTTAATATATAGCAGTGAGTAAATATCGAATAAAATTTTCTTGGTATGCTCAGGGTGATAAGAAGGTAACTCAGTTCCTTTAATAATTAGACTTCGAACTTTTTATTAAATACAGCATACAAGAGAAAACATTTCGTTTTATTGAATGCAAAAAGAAATTTTTAATAAAATGAAAACAATGTTTGTAGATGAGCCGAATCTAACTATGAAAAATATAACGGATCAGGAATCGGAAGTAGCTCCAAGTAGAGATGTTGACTGAATATTGAGAAAGAAAAGTTCAAGATACAAATTACAGGTAAATATACCTTTGTATAAACCTTTCTTTAAAATTATAATGAAACGCTATATAGCCATACATTTTAACGAACAGGGCATCCACTGAAATACAAGGGGCTCATTCCTAATCTACCACTGCAAAAAGGTTACGTGATTTTCCGTTTTTCAGGGCATATATAGTGGTGGACAAAAATAATTCATCACGCTCTGAAAAAGCGGAAAAATGTGAAAATGATGAGTTTCACGTATATATTTCATATAAAGATCATAATGCTACAGTACAATACAGTTGTAGGATTAATCTTAATCAAGTTTTATTAATTAACAAATTATTTAAACTTAATTATTCGTTGCAACCTTGTGTGGGAAAATTTTATAATTCAGGCAGGATGGGGTGACATAATTTACAATCCACGGATATTGCGTCAGCCCTGTTTGCCACTACACATCTTGTAGTCTATTTTCAAATAACACTGTTTCTACTTCCTTGTACGAAGTAAAGGAAGTATTGTAATCACGAAAATGTCCAGGTACCATATTTCAACGAAAATATCCATTTTAACCGCTATCGAATGCAATTTAAAGATGTTTTTGTGTGACATCTATACGTAAGGACAGAATAAAGGACTCTTATTCCCCGAACGAATTATAAAACTGATCTAAAATGGATTCAGAAGAGATATTTTCGTGGCGTCTGTACCTCCTTACGTATGTATGTATCTCGCATAACTCAAAAACAAATAGCCTCAGAACGTTGAAATTTTGTATGTGGGACTGCTATAACATGTAGATGTGCACCTCCTTTTTTGGTTGCAATCGGCGGCACTAAAAGTATATATATATCCACTCTGTTACTCGGCTCAGTATCTTTATTCTTATATGTTTGTAAATTACGCATTTTTTGCTTTAAAAATGACTGAATTATATTGTTATCTTCCCGTTAAGGATTTTACGTCTTTAGTTAACCTGCATGCTATAGTTGTAGAATTAGCAACAATTTAAAAGCTGTTTAAGTGCGGCTAAGTCTAATTTTTTTTTTTTTTTTTTTTTTTTTTTACCCCAGTAGGCCATATTTGTTTACATTTGAAACTGAATAGTGGATTTATTGCTAATCTAGAGAAACTAAGCTTCGCAACAACAAAGTAACGTCTTCTTTCATTATTGCGACTTAAATTATGCTTAATCCATTCTGGAAATATCATTTAAGTTATTAAACTATCCCATATATTGACTCAGCATAGCGTCCATAACGAAAATCAGTTTCTACGCTTTCACTGTCTTTTTGCCGAGTGAGACCAAAAGTAAACTTTCAGTTTTGTGCACCGAAAAATCTGCCTTACCGAATTGCTTGTTTTTGCGTAGAAACTGCAATTTTAATTGTAAAAAAAAAATTTTTTTAGATTGTTTTATTTGTATTTGGTGTTTTATGTTTTTCTATAGCTTTCAATTTTTAATATAGATATTTTGAATTTTTATGTATTTTTGCCTTGTCGCGAAGTGAGAACTGAATTAAATGAATGAGAAGTGTATCTCTAATGAAACTCGAGGAAATAAGTTTTAATGAAATGCGTATAATTTAATATTCCGCACAATGTCATGTGATGTACACATTGGATTTTTTTAAAATTTATGATCTGTGTATTTGCTGGAATAGCGCTTCTGAATTTCTTAAGAAGATTTACATTCACAACACAGCTAATTGTTTTGCACAAGAGGCCTCGGTGTTTGACTCATTTTTTGCTAAGATTAACCACTTTTACAATATCACAGAAAAATTTTTAAAATGTAAAACTAATTCATAACATATAAAGGTGTATGGCTACTTAACTCAAATTACTTATTGCTCCTAACAGCTAATTTTAGAAATTTCTATGAGATCGCCTTTATTCCTTATGATTGGTAGGATACCAACTGAAATAATATAAAACAATTAATGCAACTTCTCGCTGATAGCAACTAGCTGTTAATCAACAATAAACTGATAGCAACTAGCTGTGAATCAACAATAAACTGATAGCAACTAGCTGTTAATCAACAATAAACTGGCTTACGACTCCAACAGACTCTATCCAAAGTTACGGTATTGTCTGTGGAGGTTAAGAAAAACACAACTAACTTTTTTAACAGTTACGAAATGTATCACTATTGAGCGCCCAACATTTCTATTTGTATGAGCGGCATTTTACCGTGAAAATCTGCATAACCCTCTGCACTGAGCGAACACGTGACAAAACAAGAACATGACAGAAAGAAATCAATATAAAACTATTGCCAGTAAAACTTTGAAATAAATGTCGTAAATTAAATGCTCCATGTATTAAACGAATGAAGCTTATAAAAGAAACTTTTTACAAAAATTTGGATGTAGAAAATTTGAACAACAGGAAAAAATAAATTACGTTTTGATATAAGTATAGTGTTCCTAGTACATTCGGATGTTCCGTAGGTTTGTTCACACGTTTCCGGATTTACTCGCGTAATAATAAAATAAACCAAATCATTACCAAAGAAATTATATTGTCTAATGAATGAAGATGAGTGAGAAAGAGGGTTGATGCGAAAAAGAAAAAAAAAAAAATAAATAAATAAATAAAAAAAAAAAGACATATTGGAACCTTTGAATACACTAAGGCACCGCCTTCACAAGATTTGCAGTCCTAGATACAAATTGCTCATTTTCTTATTTTTCGATAGACAAAAATACCGCTATGAGGATATAGGATTATATGGAGGCCCCTTTAAACCTCAGCACGAAAAGGTAATGAGGAATGAAACTCAAAATGTGGATTACACTAAAATCGCATACCCTACAACCTAAAGTTTGATTTTACAGAAAACTATGCAGTACAAAGTCCGTAATCCGGACGTCCATTATCTGGAATGATCTATAATCAGGACCTCAAAGCCACAAACTTATGCATGCGCGTGTCCGCTACGCATGCGCGTAAAGCCAGTAAAGCGTTTACACATGCGCGCTTCCGATAGTGAAGAAAGTGACAGACAGGTTATTCAAAACGAAAAAATTTCGATTGACAAGTTAGTCGGTATTCTCGACACAGCAATTACAGGATTTGAACAGTGGAACTTTGTAACTGAACAAGAAATTATGTCTGTTTATAGAAGAAAGAATTAAAGAGAAAGTATTAGCACAAAAAACGAAGCAACTTAAACAATTTACATTGAAAGAAATGTTTAATGAAGCAAACAAATAAATATTAAGCTTTTTTTTTGGTAAATTTTGATACTCTTTAGATCATAATTGCTCTTTATTTCATAAATTACGGTTTCGTATTTTTAATTGTATAATTTCTGCATGCCATCTTACCAGATTTAAATTGATGATGTATAATCCGGAAAACCCCTAATCCGGAATCACCGAAGTCCCGATTATGGACTTTGTACTGTATACAGTTCAAAATTTTCGACTTTTTCCTTCCAAAAATAAATTATACATGCATAATATGATTCTGATTTAACATCCATAATATCGTACATATTTGCAGTATTGTGAATTTTTTTTAAAATTTTATTTCCTCTTATACAATTTGTCAACCAAAGTGCACAAAGATATATTTAAAATTATTTATTTAATGCACCAGTACAAAGAATTCTATTACTTAAAAGCAAATATTATTATTATTATTATTTTTTCATGCAGGCTCTCTTCACTTTATAATACAAGTGAATTATTATTTTTTTTTTATTTCAGTTGAAATTTTGTGCTTCACTGTTTCACACATCTTTACATATACTGCCACCGCACGTTTTATAAATATTTCATCTTGCATTTGGATCTCTGCAATTCCAAGGAAGCAGAAGTATGGATTACCAAGGAAAATTAAGCTCAGTTGTAAAGAAAAATAAACAAATTTCTTTTCTGCTTTTGCACCAGTGTATTTGCTTAAAAGTATTGGAATTCCAAATTTATTTTTTAGGATAATTTTAGCAGTTTTCCCCTAATACTCCAAATTTCAATATAATTAAATGCTTAATAAAATTTGCAAATAAAAAAAAAAAAAAAAAAAGAATTTACATTATAAATTTTTTTATCTATATAAAATTATTATTTACAAAAATATATACTGATGAAATAATGATTTAAATCTAGCCTTCAGCACCCAAAGGCTTATTCAGTGTTACAATGCACTGCACATTTCTAATCAAATACAAAGGTCAATAGGATAGGTCTGAAATTCAATTTTTCTGGTCTGCAATTTCAAGTACTTTTCACCACATCCTATGCACTGCCTTCTTCGAAATAAGTTGGCAAACTAACTCTAGGGAGTTAAAGAGACTCCCTAACGTTCACAGAATGTTATCTTCATTGAAGAATCACCTTCCATTTGAGACTATTTTTCATGTCAGGCAACAGCATGAAGTCATATGAAGCAGGAAGTGGACTACAAGGAAGGTCCTTCATCAGCCTCATACTCACCAAACAATCAGTGCAAAATTTAAAAGGTTGCAGCAGCATTTTATGATAAACCATGTGTTTACCCTTAAGTGTGAAGAGATATTTTTGAAAGCCTGAGCAACAGGAACTCCTTGGTGTATTTATTTTGCTGTGACCATCTTCTCTGTTCCTGACATTACTGCTCTTCTAATGTTAAAGAACAGAGCCATTATTCTTTTTTCCTCGTAGACTGGGACTTTGACATACAAGCAGATTTTCTTCTTCAGACAACTAGATTTTTCTAACGTGAAGAGAGTTGTACATAAATGTGTGAATATCCAAACATTCTTTCACATGGCGCCAGGTCACATGCTTATAGGCCTCGAGCATCTTCCCTATTCTGTGACAGACTAGGCTAAGCACCCTGACTATGAAGACTTTTAGGCTGCAGTTTGTTCTCTAGAACTCCAAATAGCAACTAGATATGGTAGTTATGATAATGGCACACATTTCGCAGTACGGAAGATATTTCTTCTAATTGCTAATCAACACTCAAACTACAAATAAAGCCTACTGCCTAGTATTCTACTTTTGATCGTGATGGCACTGTGAGCACTTCTCACTGTCACAGTTCAGAAAGAATAAATACTAGAGCTAGTCCAACAGCTAGCTAACAGTGCAGGTTCAAAGTATTTCAGTACACATCTAGTTTTCACAAAGTATAGACTGCATCATCCTACAAAATCTTACTACTAACTTGTACTATAAAAGGAGACACATGAACATTATCTTGTATTTTAAGTGGCTAGCTTATATAATTCATATCGTTAAAAAATTCAATTTGAAATATAACAGATCAGTCAATTACTTTGGAAAAATCTCCATTAAATCCAACTAATTTCAATCAAAAGAAATCCAGCAGCTTCACATAAAAGGGTTGTGGTAAAAATTTTTGAAATTTAAAAGATAAAATAGAATTAAAAATAATAATAATAAAATAAAAACTTGAAACAAAGCTCAAAGGCCATTTCAAATTTTTTCTAAATCTCATTTGAATGGCTTTACAGTTCAGCTGATTCTTCATTTGACACATGAAGAATTAAAATTTGTTTCTTATTAATGGAATCTTTTATAAACAAAACTAGGAGTATAACTTTTTGAGTATAATACATTAGAGAACAGCAAAGTTATCAATAGCTACTTTTAGCTTGAACAATGTACAAAGTTTTGCACTTTGTACACAAAATTGTTTAACAAAATTTTTGTCTGGGAAAAAAAATGAACCTTTACAAAATTGTAAGGAAAAGAAATTGAAATAAATATTTTTTTATCATGTGGATTGGTCTAAGAGCATATGTATACTGTATGAGTAATGTGCTCTTCATTAACAAGCTAGTTACACTTGAAACTACTTTTCCTACACAAGTAAGGCTAAAGACTTGGAATTTTTCATTTATATATAGGCCCACCAGTGGCCGAACGGTAAAGACGCTGAACACTGGTAGTTCGATCCGAGATTCGAATCCCGCAAACGGGCTGGCTGCATTCGTGGTTTTCCCCATGTGCAACGTTTTTACAAGTCAGTTTCCCTTAGAACGTCCTCCACGAAGGCACCCCCTCCCTTTAGGCAGATAGCCCTTGTGTGCTTTGCCATAATTGAATAATCCCAAGCCCAGTCTCATTTATATATAAAAAATGGGAAAGATTATTTTTCCCAATGAATTTTTGAAAAAAATTAGGTTATTCACAGAATGTAAGAAATTTTCTGATACATATAATCACAGAAGACTCATATAAGACTTACTGAAGTATACCAGGAGATAAAAAATAAGCAATGTATATAAATATAGTTTGATGGACAATTATGGACCTTCTTATATCCAAAATATAACATTCTTTAATTTCCTCCTAAACTTAAAATCATATTTTAACATTATTTCAGCCTAAATAGATTGGTATGAGTGCAGCAGACAGTTAAAATTTTGCAATTGTTTAAGACAGCCAATAAATTTATTTGTAACTTCTTATTCAATTATTTATTGGGGAAGAAACACTTAGCTACATATTATTAGAATGACCTACTTAATAGTATTTGATACTGAAGAACTCATTCATAATAAATTTCTTTCTGATGCTTATATATATATATATATATATATATATATATATATATATATATATTTAAATTTTATTTAATAAATTTTTACCAAAGAAATTATGCAATTAAAAAACACCTCCTCCTTTGTTTTTTTAAATTTTGTCATCCCAAAATACTAACTTCTGAAGATATATTACAATTTATTTTGAAAGTTTTATCTTTCTGCAACTTAATACATTATGCATTCTGTGTCTCACTGAAATATCCTAGAATTTTTATATGCAACATATTAGTAAATAATTAAACTAGTCAAGATAATTCCAGCATTAATTACTAAAATGCTTCATACCTGAAATCATGATAAAGGTCAATTTATCATAACATGTCTTCTTACAGAAAACTTTGCAATGGGAAAAAATCTGTATGAAATTATTATTTATTATACATTTGAAAAAGATTAATTCAGTGAATAGTTTGAAGCATAATAATGCCAAAAATCTTAAAGTTAAATATTAATCTTTTTTTTTTTTTTTTTTGTTAACAGTTTGATAATTTCTCAACATGAAGACTTCATAAAGAAGTAAATTATCTGTCAGAAATTTTACGATTAAGTTTTCTTGAATTTCAATATTTTGAACCACAACTTTTATAAAACCTATGTTATATATTAACTATGTTATGAAAGCTTTCAACCAGAAAATGCATCATATGATAAAAACTTTATACTTTTTCTCAATTTTCACAAGAAGGAAAGTTAAATGTTGTGAATGCTTTTTTAATAAGAATAAAATAAACTTTTTCAAATCTTTATTTGCAGCAGTTCGCATTAATTCATCACAGGCATATATATATCTCACCAGACAGATTTTATTAATCCACATTTTCAACTTACGCATGTCACATTTTATACTGCATTAAAAAATATGTCAAACTAGTAAATTTAATCACTGCACATATTGTTAGACAACGGATAATAACATATTTTGGCATTATATATACATATATAATAAATACAAATGTAGTATTTAAAAAGGATTTATGTAATTACATAAATCCTTTTTAATGAGAATAAAACAAAACTTTTTCAAATCATTAATTGCAATAGTTTTATTAATTCATCACAGGCATATATATCACCGGAGGTATTTCCTTAATTCACATTTTATAATTTACACATGTCATTTGCACAAATAAGTAGCCAAATTTAATCACTGCAATATTGTTAAAAAGGGAACAATATATTACTTTTTCATAAATAATAATATTTTATCTTCATATAATAAATATGTATACATAAAGAACTAATATGAAAACATAAATATATATCTGAACATTATAACAGCAAAACATGTCTGAAAGCCTTAAAATGTGACAATATTTTCCTAATGGGAAACTGTCAGTACCAAAATAAATAAAAAATGTACAATTAAATGAATATTAGGATAATTAGTTATATTTTATTTAAAATAGCTTTATTTTTATCAACAAGAACAACCTTTAAAACACTTAAATTTTGCAATAACATTCCTTTTTTTGTTAAACAGAATGTAACACTAGTTTGATCTTAAAAATTATGATGTTGCATTTACACTTTCCATATGATATTTCATACATAACCAATTTTCATAACAAAAATAAGACAGAAAGAAATAACAAGATTAAACCGATGCATATCAGAATGTTATCTGAAGTGCATTAAATTGTTTGAAACCAAAATAAGATTAGAGCTGAACCATTTTCTTAAAGTTTTGGTTACAGTATTTCTTTTACATTCTATTATTTTAAGTATCAAATTGAGTATCATATCAAATTGGTGCTCATACAGAATGGCAATTTAATTTCACTTTTATACACAACCTTTAAATAAGTTTGAATTTTACTTTAATTCCACCAAAAGAAAATTTTATTTGTCTTACATTTTCTTCAACAGCAATCTTCTTAAATCTCTGAGTTAAATGTATCTACAGAAATAGGAATTTATACAACATCTGAAGCTCTTAAAAATATTCAAGCATATCCTTGTAAAATCAGGCAGACAAAGAGAAATATAAAATTTACTTACAACCTAACAATTACATTTAGTGTAGCCTTGCAAATGAAAACGAATTATGTAAATATGACATTTTTAATTTACTTCTTAAACAAAATGAAAAGTACAACTGAATTACATAACTGTAGTGGAATGATTTTCTATAGGAAAGGGTTGAAAAAAAATTACCTTTCATTTTAAAACCTTAAAATAGCTAATCTGCAATCTCTAGAGTAAAACACTCAAAAAAATTAAATAACTGTTATTATTAACAGACCATTTAAAAAAGTGGCTATAGACTTTACTTTCTCACATTCTGATTCTAATTATAAAATTTCTCGATATAGAGTAGAGATTTTTGTGAAAGCAATTTCAGTATTATGGGTGGGAAAGTCCTGTAAATATAAAATCTTACTGTTAGAGTAATCTCCATCCCTTACAGCAAAAGTTCCAATTAGTGGCATACACTAAAACTATACTACCCTGGTTACCACTTTCAAAATAATGTGTTTTTTCTTAAATTCTGGAAAAATATTAAATTTATGATGAATCATTACAATGTATTTGAAATCTTAAAACTTTAACTAAGTGGCAATGCATTTTGGATCTAATCATGAAGACTGTATTAAAACAACTTATAAGGTATTTTCTACTTCCTTTCCACGCCTTTGTGGTGTAATTGGAAGCGTACTCGATGCATATTCGAAAGGTCCATGGTTCAAGTCCCCATAAAGGCACTGCAAATTTTTCACGTTCTCCTGCTTAAAAAAAAAACCTAATGACTATGAGCTTTTACTAGATAAATTAATACAATTAATTTATTAGCTGTTGTCATAAATTTTCATTCATTAAGATGATATTTACATCGTTTAAACATTTTACCTTCTTTAAAGCATAAGCTTATACTATATACCATGTAATAAAAAATCTCATGAATGGATAAAGGCAGAATATTTATATTATTACATTGATATATAATTGCAATAATGAATATTTTAGCTATTGATGAATGGAAACAATGGCAAATGAGAGCTTTTTTCTTTAAATCTAGGAGCTCAGAAGATAGGAAGGAAGTAAATTTCAACTTGGCACTAACCTCTTCGCTCCCAGTGCATGACATGACATGTGTCAATTTCCCTTTGTGGGCCCACCACATACTGTTTGATATTCTGAAATCGAATGCTTTATTCCAAACCTTTAAATAGGCATAAATTATGTCAGAATGCTGCTTAACTTTATTGAAGGAATCGCCTGAGGATCAGCCTTGTTGTGATGAATATTATATATCATTTTGTTCTATGAATGTTAAATGTGCGATGCTTGCAATGCTCATTCAGAATTTAGAAATGTTTCATGCATAGCAAATGGCTTAAAATTTTGTCTGTAAATATGTTAGCAATATAATAGGCACTGTTATAGATTTTTACTTCATTATTGTAAGGAAATAATTTAAATATGCAAATACAATCATTATTACTATATATTGCACATCAATGTATTATAAATTTTTTGATTTTTTGTTTATATTATACAAAATAAAATTTAAACAATGTAAGCAAATGTTTCAATAATAAAAAATAAAATAAAAAAAAAAAAAAAGATTTTATAGGAATTGCTTTTATATATTATGCTTACTCACAAAGCACACTCGGGTACATGGACATTCAGCTCGCCAAGGTCATAAGCAAATATGGGAACATTTTCTCGATACTGGGAGTGAAGAATCATGTTGCATTAAGTTTATTTACTTGACTAAAAAAAAAGTGTTAGAAAAATTAGGCAACCATAATGCTTTCTAAAATAATGTTTCTTTGAAAATTGAAATAGAAATTATGAATCAATTATGGAATGGAAATTATGAATCAATTTACAGCAAATGATTGAAATTCTGAGACCGTGGAAAATAAGAACATTGATTTTTTTAAAATCAGAGCTGGTTTACACACATTTTATTAAAATTTTTTCTAAGAAGTTTTCATTCTTCATTGCAATAAGGAATTTTCTGTATCACTATATATAGATATATTACTTTTTAAAGATTTTTCTTATCAAATACTAGTTAAGATATATTTTTAATAAAAATGAAATAAAAAAGTCACCCGATCTTTATATGTTCTATTTTCAGCTTCCACAAAAAGTTTCTGAGGGATAAACTGTGGTTAATTTTAGTTGCACTTACATATATATATATATATATAGGGCAGCTTGCACTTATATATATATATAACAATGAGGAAAGTATCTCAACTAGTGCTCACTACACTTTTTCTTTGTGATTTATTTTCTTTTTTACATAGCACAAAGTTTTTGCACCAGAACATCTATCTGAAGTACATAATCTAATAAATCTCAAGCCTCTGATTAGTAAATTAAAAATATTTTTAAAAATTTAAATAATTATGAAATTACAAAAACAAATTAAATATCAGTCAAGTTGAACAAATCTTAACTGCAAGCTAATATTAATAGTACTATAACAATCTCAGGTGCCGATCAAATATGTTTGCACCAAGAAACAGTTCATATCCAAAACTACCACATGGGTGCACTTCTGATATAATAGTAAAATGTTCAACTACAGTGAAACAGACCCATGATTCATCCTCAAGATCATTTCCCATCTTCATGGGGAACTATAGTGCCATGCTTCCTATGTGTGCTAATACGGTGACGTGGGCAAGTTGCTAAGTGAGCAAAATGCCTCACCACCACAAAAGATGACCTCAGATATGACAAGAACAGAACCCCTGCCTACCTGGGAGCAAATGACAAAAATGTCACACACCCAAAGGTGCAACAATAGGCCCAATTAGGCATGTCCACACTGAGGCTATGGCTGACTAATATGGCCACTGAAGCTATCACTATGACCTGTCACATTCTCTCATAACGCATTCAAAATGCTTAGTGGTGGGAAGGTATGTAGTCATCTCGAGGGCCAATCCGATGATACCACCACTAAACAGCTTAAGTATTTGAAACTATTGTATGAGTGCACTTTCGCAGTAGTGGTTAAGGTATTTAACTATAACAAATCAGACACACGATTGAACCCCAAGATAATTTACCATTCTCAAGGACATGTACAGGTTGAAGCAAGGCTGTCAACTGCACGTTCCCAAAGGTACATTGGGTACTGCTTGTTAACTTTTTAGCTTTATCCCAATTTTGATAGAGAACATCCAAAGGGAGAAGGGTATCCAAAGATCTCCAATCACTAATGATACTAAACAGAACTTTCAGCTCAGTGTGAATTCTGAGTACCACCTTGCCACAAAAGCACTATTACATTTATGAACAAACGCACCTGCCTCAGGATTCAAATGTCCGCCCATTGATATAGCAGTCAACCTCATTCATTAATCACGGCACCAACTGGGTAGCCATTCTCAATAACATGGGGAATTCATTGCACAGCACTTCCCATCTGTTGTGATAGATGGTAACATAAGCAAACAGCCAAATCCAAGGACTACCAGTAAGCATATTGCCTGGGACTGCCACAGTACATATTAGATGAAAGTTTTTTAGTAGAATAAAAAAATATCACTAATTGTCACATACATATTTATAAAATATCTCTAAATAAAAACTTAGAGATTGAGGTTTCTTATTTCAAATTATTTCATTTTTTTAAATTCAGATAACTATGTTATATTATTTAGCTAAAATACAGTAAACTCTTGCTGAATCAGGAGTTATATCATTTACACATAATACATATAGAGAAATAGTGTTCTGCAAAGTTACCTTTCTATGGGGGAAAAAGGGAGTTGGGTATAGTTCAGATTAAGAAAGCAGGTACAATCTATACAAATCTAAATATTATTGTAATTAAAAGGGAAAAATAAACCAACCATATATTAATTGAAAGGATTTTTATTACTGCTTAATAAGCAGGTAAACAATGCAATCATTTTTTAAATAGCTTGTAATTTTTGCTTGGGGCAATGTTTGAAGCAACCCATTAAATGTTTTACTGCAAAGTTTTCAACATCCCTCATGTGCTTCTTTTTCTAGAAGTGCATTGTAATTTTTGTTATCATTTTAGATTATTACTTGAGCTCTTATATATGTTAAAATTAGCATTTAACAACCTTTTTTTCCTTTATTTTATATGAAAATATACTTAAAAAATTGCTTATCTTGTAAAATAACTTTCAGAAGCGCTATTCAAATTAGTCCAAAGTTTTAATTGATAAAAACCCATTGATAAAGTTTAAAATTAATAAAACAACATAATGAAGACTATTTACAGTAAGTAACAAAGTTTAAAATGAAGACAATGTGGTAAATCTTGTAGCACAGAGAAGTATCACTTTCTAACTTTTTAGAAAATGAATCATCACTCTCATCTGCATTAGTAAATGGTTTATTAACCATACGAGGGTATTATTCCTCTGATAAATAGCGCCTTCCCGCCATAATAGACTGCAGGTGAGGCTTTCCAAAATAAAGAGAAGAAACAGAAATATACCTGAAGGCAATACAAAACGTAACAGAACTCCGCATAGTAAACCTAAAACACCGTACATAGAAGAGAGGAAAAAAAGGAATTGGATATAAATCAGACATGCAAATGTTTATATTAGTACATCCTGATTTAAAGAGCCCACGTCTGTTTACGCTTTCCCCTCCACCCTTTCAACAGTTGATGAACAAAATACCAAAATCAGGCAGAATATATCAAACTCTCAGGAACCTAAAACTGTGTTCATTTCAAAAGTAATGGACATAGGATGCCACTAATGGTCTTTAGAAAAATGTTCCAGCTTAAAATGAGTATACGCATCACCCGTCCTCTGAATGCAATCTCTAGTGATGGGTGGATGGGATGCCCGGCTGTAAGAGAGACGTTCTTAGGGAATGCATATATGGGATGCCCATCCTGAAAGGGTTAAAACAGTTGACAACTTCTGGACAGAACTAATGACAATAAGCATTTAATGTTGATGAATTCACTTGTTCCCATTTAAGCTTAATCATTTTTATGCAGTGTATTATGTTGAATTGCTTATAGAAATGGGTGAAAGAAAGTTACAAAAAGGAATTATTGCTTTTGAGCAGACTTACAAGCAGCACCAATACTTATAGACTTCTTGTTGAGAAAGTAAACCCTGTTGTAAATTCTTGCATTAGACAAATTAAATAGAGACAAGAAAACACATATACACAAAATTGCATTTCACAAGTCTGTATTTAGCAAGGGTTTTTATTGTCCGTGATTTATTTTTTAGATTTAATTTTTAAAAAATTTCAAAGAATTTTGAGTCTTTCAAATATTCAGAGGAAATATTATACTGATTTACTGATGGAACTGTCATTCTAATGAAGCAATTAATTTTGCTGAGAAAAATTTTGTGACACAGAAATGAGACAAACACTAAAATACCTTTTTTGTTAAAGATTTAAATTCATTCATAATATAGATTAGAAGAAAAACTATGACAACTACACTGAAAACGATATCATTATCATTAGTGTGAGGCAGATATACAGAAATTCCTATATTATACAAATTTAAGATAAAATTTATCTAAATAATTTTCAAAACCAAAAATCAATATTAAAAAAAAAAAAAAAAAAAAAAAAGAACAAGCTAAACATTTATAAACATAAGAGTTAATATTGAGATATTGCAGTAATTAGATTGAGATATCAATATTATTAAGGGAAAAATATAAGATAACTCACAAAAGTATTAATTTCCGGAATACATTCATTCAGTTTTCAGAATTGTGGAAGATTATGCATTAGCATTTATGCAGTTTTCAGTATAATGCTATTTCAAATTTAGATATAACCATGACCATGCAGCTTTAAAAGTATTTAAAAAACATATTCATGTTGTTCACAAAATATAATAATAACAAGATCTGCACTTTTTTTACACACTCTAGTAACAATCAGCAGTATATTTTATGAAGAATAAGCAGTATATTTTAAGAAAATATATCTTGAAATTTTCAAAAAAGGAAAGCTTGATTATTACTGCAGGATTTCCTCCTAAAAATATGAAGAATAAAATATTATAAGATAATTTGCATAAAAAAATGCAATTAGTTAGTTAAATTTTTTCCCTTTAAATTTGATGTTATTATAATAAGTTATTTATAACATCAAATTTAACAAATAAATAAACATCAGCATTCAAGATCACATAAAATGAAAAAGTTACAACAGGGTTCGTACACATTTCTGCACATGGAAATTAGGTACTTTTAAGGACCATTAATGAAAAAAATTAAGGACCTATGAGCAAATGAGAATTGAATAAATTCAATTAAAAATATTATTCTATGCCTGAATTTCACTTTTGTAATACCATCCTAAAAATAAAATAGATCCATAAGTAGTATGCATTATTACTAAACATGAATTAACTAACATAATTATTAATAAGTTTGAGAATAAAATAAACTTCATGCAGTTTATCAAGTAGCATTAAATATTTTACACTTATAATATTTGGACATATTTAAAAGAAGATAAGTGGCATTTACGTTTTATTAATAGTTAGCTTTATGCTGCTGCTTTTTTTTTTTTTTTTTTTTTTTTTTTTTTTTGTCTCATTTTTCTCACATTACTTGGTCAGTCTAGAGGTTTAGCAAATAGTAGAGAGATTTTATGTCAAACGGCATAAGTTAAAATGAGAAGTGAGATCATAATCTGCATGACTCATAACAAAAGACTGAATGTTGTCCCTCTGCTGCTTGTCTATAGAGAGACCTGCTGATTGGAACAAACCTGAAAGGCCCGATGTAGGCATGGTTGGCAAGTGTTGAAAGTTAGTCAAGCTCTGCTTAATGCAGTTAATGTCATAGCTTTGTTTAGAGTTCCAGCCATTGTGACCCAGTTAATATACTTTAAGGTTCCAATAAGCCATTAAAGCACCAGAGGTGATAAGTTATTTTATATATATTATAAGTCTCAGGAGATACAAAGTATAAGTTTTACTTTATGGTGTTGATGGTTACTTGATGAGTGTTGGATAATGTTCCATCAAAGTTCATCATCCTGTGTTCTCCACACAAAGGATTTGGCGATTGGATCCCATAAAAAAAATCCCAGTCGCCTTTTAAAAGGGGGAGTATACAAGGCATTTCTCCCACCTTGTTGGCGACCCTTCGTGGTGTAGTGGTTTGCACACTGGTAGCGGTATTCCAGAGATCCGCGGTTCGATTCCCGGCGAAGCATTGTTAATTTTTTATCTTTCCTGCTTTCAAAAACACCTAATGTCTCTACAAGCCTTCCCAAACATTTTGGCTAGTTTATATCAATTTCCTTATCTTTAATTATCGATCTTTTCTGACAATAATTAGAAATTTGTCTCAATATGCAAACCAATGTTCTCGCTAGTTTCTGTGTGCTTTATCTCCTAATTTGTCAACCTCTCCACAATGTACTATGAGGGTTTACTTGATCTGGTAAAAGTTAAATAGTCCCCCCCCCCCTCTGATAGACGTGAAGCAAATTATCACTGTATCTGAAAGTAACTACAATATCAGACAAAGAACTTAGAACATAAAGGCATGTTCTGATGCTAACAAAGTCAATTACAGCTCAACGGTGATGTAATTAAACAAGAACAGTCAAATTCAAACTAAAAATGAGGACTAGTGGCCAAAGATAATACAATTTAATTTTAATTTAATCTGGCTCAGTAATTCTATTATATGAGGAAAAAACACTAAATGCATTTAGAATGTACAGAAAAAGCGGCTAATTTTATTCCTTTAGTAATATGAACATTCAGAAGAAATACGAAATATATATGCAGGGTTCGTACACATTTCTGCACATGAAAATTAAGCACTTTTAAGGACTTTTAAGGACCATTAATGAAAAAAATTAAGGACCTATGAGCAAATGGGAACTGAATAAATTCAATTAAAAATATTATCTATGCCTGAATTTCACTTTTGTGATACCATCCTAAAAAAAATAAAATAGATCTCTAAGTAGTCTGTATTATTACTAAACATGAATTAATTAACATAATTATTAATAAGTTTGAGAATAAAATAAACTTCAATTTATCAAGTAGCATTAAATATTTTACACTTATAACAGATGGACATATTTGAAAGAAGATAAGTGTTATTTACGTTTTACTCACAGTTAGCTTTATGTTGATTTTTTTAAATGTCTCATTTTGTCACGTACTTGGTCAGTCTAGAGGTTGAGTAAATAGCATGTAGATTTTATGTCAAACGGCAGAGAAGATCATAATCAGCATGATTCAGAACAGAAGACTGAATGTTGTTATTGCTGCTGCTTGTCTAGAGGGAGACTTGCTCATTAGAATAAACCTGAAAGGCCTGATGTAGGTTCGCAAGTGTTGAAAGTTAGCCGGGCTCTGTTTGATGCAGTTAGTGTCGTAGCTTCGTGTAGAATTTCAGGGGTTGAAACCCAGTTAATATACTTCAAGGTTCCAATAAGCCATTAAAGCACCAGAGGTGATAGGTTGTTTTGTATTACTTTAAGTCTCACTGGATACAAAGAATAAGTTTACTTGAATTTTTACGTTTTTGTGTTTTATCTTGTGACCACAGTGAGTATTAATGAAAGGCAATAACTCGGTTTAATACGTAGAGGTAATTTTTGAGGGTAAGCAGTTAGTTATAAATAATTAAATTAGGTAATTAGATAACCTTAGTCATTATGGACTTACATTGCCAAAATTAAATTTTATTTTTTAACAATATTTGTTAAAAAAGCTCTATTAAAATCAAAATCTAATCAAATTTCACAGTTTAAAATGCATGTAATTTATAACATTGATTCTTAAACGATATTAGAATAATTACACATTAAAAACTACAAAACATTTATGTTTTGTAACAACAACACTCATCAAAATATTTATCCGTCATTTTAATATGAAGCCTTCCCAAACATTTTGGCTAGTTTATATCGATTTCCTTCTCTTTAAGCATCTTTTCTAACAATTAGAGATTTGTCTCAAAATGCAAACCAATGCTCTCGCTAGTTTCTGCATCAACCTAACTGCTTTATCTTGTAACTTGTCAACCTCTCCACAATGTACCTATGAGGGTTTACTTGATCTGGTAAAAGTTAAATAGTCGAAAACCCCCAACTGATGTGAAGCAAACTATCGCTATGTCTGAAAATAACTAAAATATCAGACAAAGGTTTAAATAAGCCTCTTATATAAAAAGAACAAAGAATACAAAGGCATGTTCTGATGCTAACAAAATCATTTACAGCTCCCGGTGACGTAATTAAACAAAAACAGTCAAATTCAAACTAAAAGTGTGGACTAGTTGTCGAAGATTATATAATTTAATTTTAATTTAATCTGGCTCCGTAACTCTATCATATGAGGAAATTATAGTAAAGGCTGAAATCATAAACAATTGGGTAATTTACATAATAATAACTGCACATTTCTTTGAAGAATAATTTTCTTTGTCTTTATTATTTTATTTCTTTAACATGTTTCCTTTTCATTTTAGAATTTTTGGATTTAATTAAAGATTTCCGTTATTCTAAAAAACATGAAATGCATTTAGAATGTATAGAAAATGGCTAATTTTATTTCTTTAGTAATATGAACATTCAGAAGAAATATATATGGTAAAGACCGGTTACAGAGCCAATGGTGTGGAAGAATTTTTAGAATTTAGTGACATACCGAACAACAAAATCTAGAAATGGCAACATCTTTTAGAATTTAGAGCAGGCATTGGAAGCAGAATTTAGAAAGGCTCCATGCATAGATTTAGGCATCCACAGAGACTGCATCAGATGGGAAAATGCCTAGTTCCAGCTCTGTCTATGATGCATTAAAACATATTAGATGAATCTTTTAAATTGTAAGTTTTCAATTTCTCTATTAATAAAAAAATCTCTTTCTATAATTTGCCTGCCCATGTGACAAGATTAGAAGCATTTTTGTTATTTTCCATGCTTGTGTCTAGTGAAAAGTAGAGAAAATAAAGGGAAGATAAACATGTTAAGAAAATGATTCTAGTATCGGGAGTAAAACATTCAAATATTATGTTTTCATTGTTCTTCCAGACGTTCTCCAAAAAGTAAGAAGTTCATCGCAAACTTTCAGTAAAATATATCCATTACGTGTTGATACCATGGAGACATTTTTCATTTTGCCACATATTTCTCAAATTTTCTAGAATCGTGGGTCAATAAATCTTGCCTTCAAATCTTTATAAACTTTCCAAGCTGCAATGGCTAAAATACCAAAGAAAAATTATCCCTACCAATTCAATAACAGCAAAAAGCCAAAAATATTTTGGAAAAAAAAAGGAGGGAAAAAGTGTAAAATTAATTTTACACAGAAAACTGATACATACTCTGAGAATTTTGAATATTCTGAGACAATCACATGGGAAAAACTTTTACAATGAAAAAATTAAAAAGAAGATATTTTTAACTAATTAAATAGCTAATTTTGCTTTTGCTGAGAGCCATTTCATAAATTGTGCTTTATAGCATTATAACTTCTTTATTTTTCAAAGTCAAAATATTGTATAATAAGTTGCCAAAATGAAATTTTATAATATGATAGCAAAAATTAAAAATGTTTTATTTTAATGCTATTTTTTAAATATAATTTCAATATATTACCTTTATTTTAATAAAATTTATCAATGTTAGGATGTTTTTAAAAAAAAATCGTCCAAAAATTCTCAGATCTTGGAATTAAAAATTTTCTATAGAAACTGATCTTAAAATTGCCAAAATGTTGATAAGTCACCAAATTTAGAACCGCTTAATAAAAGAATTCACATCTTTAAAAGCGAAAAGTTGTTTAAGAGCTCTTTAAAAAAATGAATTTTGCTATGCTTATGTTTTACTTCTTGCTTAGAACCTCGAGTATCCCATCACTCTTATATTAGAAACAGAACAAATTATAACCGATGAACCCATTCAAAAGGGATAACCATATACATCAGTGAATTGCCAAAAATATTCCTCCAAAATGCTAATTCACACTCAAAATGGCAGTCGTAAAAACAGAG